TACAGTGCCTTGCTAAAGTATTCGGCCCCCTTGAACTTTGTGACCTTTTGCCACATTTCAGGCTTCAAACATAAAGATATAAAACTGTAATTTTTTTGTGAAGAATCAACAACAAGTGGGACACAATCATGAAGTGGAATGAAATTTATTGGATATTTCAAACTTTTTTAACAAATAAAAAACTGAAAAATTGGGCGTGCAAAATTATTCAGCCCCCTTAAGTTAATACTTTGTAGCGCCACCTTTTGCTGCGATTACAGCTGTAAGTCGCTTGGGGTATGTCTATCAGTTTTGCACATCGAGAGACTGAAATTTTTGCCCATTCCTCCTTGCAAAACAGCTCGAGCTCAGTGAGGTTGGATGGAGAGCGTTTGTGAACAGCAGTTTTCAGTTCTTTCCACAGATTCTCGATTGGATTCAGGTCTGGACTTTGACTTGGCCATTCTAACACCTGGATATGTTTATTTGTGAACCATTCCATTGTAGATTTTGCTTTATGTTTTGGATCATTGTCTTGTTGGAAGACAAATCTCCGTCCCAGTCTCAGGTCTTTTGCAGACTCCATCAGGTTTCCTTCCAGAATGGTCCTGTATTTGGCTCCATCCATCTTCCCATCAATTTTGACCATCTTCCCTGTCCCTGCTGAAGAAAAGCAGGCCCAAACCATGATGCTGCCACCACCATGTTTGAGAGTGGGGATGGTGTGTTCAGGGTGATGAGCTGTGTTGCTTTTACGCCAAACATAATGTTTTGCATTGTTGCCAAAAAGTTCGATTTTGGTTTCATCTGACCAGAGCACCTTCTTCCACATGTTTGGTGTGTCTCCCAGGTGGCTTGTGGCAAACTTTAAATGACACTTTTTATGGATATCTTTAAGAAATGGTTTTCTTCTTGCCACTCTTCCATAAAGGCCGGATTTGTGCAGTATACGACTGATTGTTGTCCTATGGACAGAGTCTCCGACCTCAGCTGTAGATCTCTGCAGTTAATCCCGAGTGATCATGGGCCTCTTGGCTGCATCTCTGATTAGTCTTCTCCTTGTATGAGCTGAAAGTTTAGAGGGACGGTCAGGTCTTGGTAGATTTGCAGTGGTCTGATACTCCTTCCATTTCAATATTATCGCTTGCACAGTGCTCCTTGGGATGTTTACAGCTTGGGAAATCTTTTTGTATCCAAATCTGGCTTTAAACTTCTCCACAACAGTATCTCAGACCTGCCTGGTGTGTTTCTTGATATTCATGATGCTCTCTGCGCTTTAAACGGACCTCTGAGACTATCACAGTGCAGGTGCATTTATATGGAGACTTGATTACACACAGGTGGATTCTATTTATCATCCTTTGTCATTTAGGTCAACATTGGATCATTCAGAGATCCTCACTGAACTTCTGGAGAGCGTTTGCTGCACTGAAAGTAAAGGGGCTGAATAATTTTGCACGCCCAATTTTTCAGTTTTTTATTTGTTAAAAAAGTTTGAAATATCCAATAAATTTTGTTCCACTTCATGATTGTGTCCCACTTGTTGTTGATTCTTCACAAAAAATTACAGTTTTATATCTTTATGTATGAAGCCTGAAATGTGGCAAAAGGTCGCAAAGTTCAAGGGGGGCGAATACTTTCGCAAGGCACTGTACACCGTAGATCCGCGGTGGAAAGTACATTTACTTAAGTACTGTATTATGATGTATATTTTCATTTTGTGCTACTTAATACTTTGACTTCACTACAATTTAGAGATAAATACTGTACTTTTTACTCCACTACATTTTTTTTAACTTTATTTAATAGTTACTTTTCATAACCAGATCAATACAAAAATTACAATATTATCAAAACACTATTTATTTCTGGTGAAAAATTCACAAGCTACCCAGCAGCAATTCAAACTATAGGTATAATAAGACTAATAAAACTAGTCCCACCTTTACCAGCTGCAATATTAAATTTGATGAACACAATAATGAATCAGTAATTATAATCCAATAATATAATATAGATTCATGTTAAATGTGCCATTCTGCATAATATACTTTTACTTTTAGTACTTTAAGTGTGTTTTAATGCTAATACTTTTGTACTTTTACCTAAGCAGCATTTTGAATGCAGGACTTTTACTATGGCTATGAAGTACTTCTGCCACCGCTACTGTACAGTGAACATTTTTACATATGAATTTTTAGGTTTTCTTCACAATAAATGTTTCTTTGACAGGAACATTAAATGGTTTAAAAATGTATATTCAGTGAGTTCCACTATTTTAACAACTTTCTTTATTTGCAGGGTTCAACCCCGTGTGGAATGAAAAATTGCAGTTTAACATCAATGTCCCAGAGCTGGCCATGGTGCTGTTTATAGTGGAGGACTTTGACACAGCAAACCGCAATGATTTCATTGGGCAGTACTGTTTGCCACTCACCAGTGTACAGAATGGTAAGAAAGTCCAGCCTGAACAGCGCTAAAGTAAATAAAGCAATATTTGCAAGCGTTTACTCATTTGGTCAATAAATAATCACATCACACAGAGGACTTTCAGTCACATCAACAAGTTAACCTTAAGTCTACAGTGACTGAAGTATCACTTAGTTAGGAGGTAATAAAGTGCATGATGAACTTTGGTTTTAAGAAGGGGTCACTTTTCCTAGCATCATCCCTTCGTCATATTTTTCACAGCAGATGCATAATGTCTTGTTTAGTTAGATTTTTAAACCACAGCACTTCTGAATTTTTGTGTCAAGAGCTGTTGGCAACTTTATGTTAATCATAAAGTAGCTCTGAAGTAGTTTTTTGCTGACAAAACTAAAAGTGACTTCCTTTCATGCAGGATATCGCAAAGTCCCACTGCTCAACAAGAAAGGCGATGTCTTGCCCTCTGCTGGACTCTTTGTGCATACCATGCTCATGGACGCTCAGTAAGCCCACATGTGGAAAACCTACATGCCAAAAGCAACTTTTTTTTAATGGAAACACTACAGGAACTTGTCTCGTCTTGAAACTAAATAATGTAACTCTCAAATATTGTAACTCTCATGTTGCCTACCGACCAGCAGTTGCTCGCTCACAGTCATTTGTAACATTTTCTTAGCTGAGCTTCTGTAGTGTAACATAGCAAGAATGTGAATGAACAGTGTCAAAAGCTGTTTTTTAAGTCACTCAACTGTATCTGGGGACATAAGATAGAAGTACAGGTGCTAGGAAGGGAATATGTGGAAGTCGGATTAAGATGCTGACTTATGACTGTGTTATTTCTGAATTTCATTGTTTACAGATTACCTACCCTAGGCTTTCTGTTACTGTCTTTCAGAAACATACAGGTGATAAATAATAACACAGCCTGTTGCACTCAAATAATGTAATACTTAAGCAAAATAATAGCAACTATTTAAATGTCATAATTCTCTTTTGAATGAGAAAAGTAAGATTTTCTGTTTTAGTGTCAATGATTTTTGTTACTGGAGTCTGTATAATACACAAATCTTCTCTAGACATTAAGCCCTAATTTACTTTACCAAGTGTGCTGCAAACAAATCTTAATATATCACACTTTATTTTATGTTCAATTTTCCAATGTACAAAAGCGGTTTTTACTGATGTTTAGTGTCTCGTGTTTCTTATGTGCATTTGTGTGAGCTCTCAAATAAAACTCTTCTGATAGTAGGCGTTGGCTGTTTAGTCATAATATTAGTGAATCAATAATTCAAATGACAATATAGTGAGACAACTTGATTAACTGTATGATCACATGCAAACATTTAAAATATTGATAAAATATTGATAAATGTATAACAATTACAAAAAGCATTATAAAAATTTGTTTTTCCATGAAACTTGTGATTTTAGTAACAATTGTTTCAAACTGTTTTAACCACTAAGACTTGACTAAGATTAGTAAAGAAAAGTATTCAGAATGATTAAGGCCTTTACTGCTCACACGTTTCTTAAAATGCTGCCCTACAGTTTGCTTTACAAAGACCCTTATCTGCATTACAATGAAACGAGCTTGACAGCGTTTCCATGTAATAGTAAATCCTTCTCAGAAAAGTCCTGCTTTTTTCTTTAAGTCATTCTGCCTCCACTTTGGCAAGCGGAGGAAGTCTGCGCGTCTGGTCCCAAGGAGGTTCTCGAAATCCACATCAGTCAGGTAGACCTGTAGTCAAAGACAAACGACAGGTTGGCTGACCCCTACTGGACAGGCAGTGTTAGTACATCAGCATGCACACATTCTAAGTACAGCATACTGTACTTGATACATCCCAGTGAATCACAATCAACCTTGTTGCCATGGACACAGTGTGCGACAATGGGTCCCTGGGCAGAAACGTGTTAAAGGCGCTCACCCCTCCTTACATGGAAGCATGACGGTCTGACTGAACAGCTACAAATTGTAGTTGCTTTATGTCTGTTTGTAGTCTTTTTGCTGTTCTTTATGGTCTTTGTAGGTTTAAGTCTCTTTGTGGTTGTTTAGTGTCTGTGGTTATTTACATATTTTGCTAGTTGGTTTATTTCTCTTCCTGGTTGTTTTGCATCTCTCTTTAGTTTTGTGCTGCTCTGCAGTTATTTTGTTTCTCTTTGTGGATGATTTGACTGACTTTCTGTAGGTGAAGACGAGCTCTCGGGTGCAGTTGAACTTCATTTTTTTATTCACACTGGAGAACAAACGAAGCTGTCTGACTCAAGTCCAAAGCTTCCTGCTACAGCAAATCCACAGTGACACCAACTACTACATCACATTATACTAATCATTACCATAAACCATCCATAAAACATGTTTGAGGTGTTACTAGTTCTGTAATATAAAGGGGGAAAATCTAGAATAAAATCAACATTGGAATGTATTTGGCAGATGCTCAGTATTAAAAGACTCTAATCAGGACATCACCACTTGTGAGCTCTGGCACTTCAACATTCTCTCACCCAGGGTTCATTTGTGCTTGCAGCATTCACACTAGTCATTCACACCCATAATTCCTCACCCACCTCTCTCTGGCTGGGGTCCACGCCTAGTGGCAGCTCACTGGGAGGTTTGTTGATGAGGAGCTCAGGATCCAGAACCATCCCAGAGCCTCCAGCAGAGGTGGAGGACTGGGTTGTGCTGGTGGGGTAAGAGGCTCTAGGAGACAAGTCAGCTACATGGTTGTTGACTGGAGAGGAGCTCGCTGGGCCCCCTGGAGCTCTATAACCACCTCCACCCACCCCAACTGGACTCCTATTTAGGTCAGTGTTGTTCAGATCCTGTTGACATTAGAGATGAGCTTGTGAAATCTTATTTTTAGGGAATGTTTGCATGACATTTAGAGGAGAAAACATCAACATTGTAAAAATTCATACACTAGCGACCAATTGTATTGTTATGTAGATACATTAGTAGTTATTACATCAGTGATATTAGTACAACTAGTGATAGGATTAGTGTTAGTCAATAACTTACTACAGTGATTTGTGAGAGAGATGCTGCATCACTCAGGTTTTTTCTCATCTCCTCATAGGAGTTGCCTCCCTGTTGAGAAGATCAGTTGAGCCAGGACTGAAAGTTAGTACACATGCACGCAGTCGTCTTCATCTTCAAACAGTGCGTAAAAATCATCCAGGTGAAACTATGTGCCCTTTGTAATTTCTGAGACGATTTGATCACACAAGATTACTCATATTTGTGGCTCTTTTCCATAATCCGTTTATGTAATAGAAACACACAGCAATAGAATACTATGGATAGTAATGTGTAATACCTTAATCATGCTGTAGTATTATTATTATATTAATAATGTGCAATCAGACAGGGACAATCAAACTCACGCTCCACTTATGAGGATCCCACGCATTGAACCAGCCAGTGAAGGTAGGCGGCTCATATCCCTGTTTGACAAGGATAATGGGTGTGCTGGGGTCACGGCCCGCTGGGTGGGTCCTCAAGTATTCCTGCGCACTGTTCCACGCTTCTTTGGTCTCATACTGGTTTGCTGAGATTCCAACCCACAAGAAAAGCTTAAGGGACATGGAGAAAGAAAGCAAGAAAATAACAGATGGCTACATTTCAACAGTTCTTCCCAGATCACCATGTAAAAGTTTTGGAGTTTGCACCCACCAGTTGGTCTCCACATCATGTGTGCCATCATAAATTTTACTGTTCAATTCCCAGGCCCAAGAAGACAATGTTTTTCTGCAATAATAGACATTAACTCAGGGTCTGGCTGTGGCCCTTTGCCTTCTCACCTCCTCCCAGGTGTCCAGTAGCATGACATCCTCCTCGTCCAGGTCACTCTGGGCAAAGTCCTCCACCTCGGTCATCTTAAACTGACCAGTCTGATTGGAGCATTCAAATAGGCGGGGACTGTGAGGAGGCTCCTCCCTCTGCAGTCTGAAATGAAACAAACCTTTCCATTGTAAGAGCTGTTTACACTTAGGGGCATGTGTGCATACTTTATTTCATTGGTATCAGATGACAGAGGGCATATTCCACTGACTTTCACATAAATATAATCCATGCAGATTTAAAGTTAAGCCTATTAATCACTGAAAATATTACTAAAGAGGCCTTTGGATGATTTCAGACGTCCTTGTTCAGTTATAGTTATATTTTGCTTTCATGCAACATGGCTGAGCAGGAAAGACAAATGAGTCCCAGCTACTTCAGTTATGTTGTTCAGCATGGAGACACATTTCCCCTGAGATTTCTAGACTGACACAATATTGTAGCTGTCTGTGTGTACCTCTTGTCGCTAGCATAGGGGGCCTTTCCTCCCAGAGCTACCCAGAATTCAGCTGGCTCCTGGCCCTCCATCACCACCTGCTTGTCCTGTTTGGACACAACATCAGACAATGCTCTCCCCATCACCCTCTCATCCCCGCTGCAGCCCTGGACACAGAGATAAGCAGACATCAAACATACACAGAACTGTGGTAGATACAAATACACAAACATAAATTCACATTTTTAATCTCTTAAAGGGGTTCATGTCAGACTTCTGTAGCATAATTTATTTTAAATAACAAAGAAATTACCTTTCCATACCACAAATAGCACATTTGCTCAGTCTTCAGGATGAATACATCATTACTGTTGAGAGATGAGGCCCTGGCCAAAACTTCGGTGGCCTTGGTGTTTAACTCGTCGGTCCCTCTCACCTGGAAGAGCCTGGTACCGCCGTCAGGGTTGACCACACCTGGGCGACCAGTGCCACCCTTTAAACAAGCACGTCAGAATACATAAAATACATGCCGAGATTCACACTCACACAAATACGGATGAAGCAGCAAGGATTATTTAGTTTTTTGCTTTTTATTTAATTGTATAGTTTTGATAAGTGTTATATTATTCTGACCATGTAAGATTAATGTCTGATAATGTTTTTCTGGAGCATTTACTCCTTCAGATTTTTTAAAAACCATATTGCAGTATTTATTCCTCAGGTTATCCACCATCATTGGCACAGATAACTAGGAGCTAGGCCTGTTTTGCTTTTTAGCATCAGTAATTTATAAAATAAATTAATCTTCTATATGTAAAATCGCACCTCAAAGATGATAAGTTTGCCTTTGAAAATAGCCAGGAAATGATGAGGCTCCTTTCCCATGACCACCCTGACCTGGACCGGGGCTCCATTGTACTTGTTATCAATATTGACAGCCTGGTAGGCAGAAGCTGTGATCTCATCTTTAGTGGCGTGACGACCCTGGTATTAAACATAACATATCAATACAAAGTGGGCTTTCTTTGAGTAGTTGAACAGAAACAGAGAGACAACAACTGACCTGCCACATGTAAAGTATGTACTGCTGCTGGTTTGACCTTTGATATGTGTATAGGACCAAGTAGCAGTCTCCTCCATAGAACTGTCCATAAGTACTTGGATTTACTTCAGCCAGCTCCAAGTTCTCAATGCGCCACACCTGACAAAGACAGAAACATCAACATAAATCTAAAACCTTTGCCATTTGAACTACAGATGTGCATCTGCTCTGTGTGTTTGCATTTTTGCACTGCATGTGTCTGTGTTTTTTCCTTACTTTCACATCTCCAGAGGCATCGTCGACCATGCGCTGCTGTGCTGCCAGTTCAGGACGTGCATGAAGCTCCATTACATCAAATTTCATCTGGTCCACCTTAGCTACATGAAGACCCACATAAATAAATGAATAAGACATATAATCAAATCTCTTATACCTGGCTCTGCCCACGTTGTCTTGACTGACAAAAAACAGTTTGTGATAACAAGTGAAGCTGAATGGAAAATGATTTTATAAAAATCTGCTGGAAATTCATTTGTTGTATTCTTTTATAATTAATTACTATTTTTTCTGTATATAGTCATAATTATTCTGTCTTCATCTAATATTAAATATTGTGGGTCCATGTACTGTAAGTGGGTTGACAATGAGCATAATAAATACCACCTCAATTCAAATATCACTATCATCCAATCTAATTTAAACCTGTTATGCACTACAAGCTAAAATGTCCTTAGTGCATTAAACATGTACTTTCACAAATCTATCTTTTGCAGAAGTGAATTACTAGGTTACCTATCTTTCCCATGCTGTGTGTGGTGCCCAGCCCCTGGGTTTGTCCTTTATCTCTCCAGGACTTGAACAAGTGCTTGAACATGGCTGACTCTCCTCCCTCAGCCATCACCTCCACAGGAGTGTTGGATGGGTAGTTCTTGGCTTTGATATAGCCCTGATAGAAAAGATGAGTGGACAAAGTAGATCTTTAATTACTTTAATCAATCCTTACTATTTAATTTAGTGACTCAGGCAGAAGAGATTCATGACAACAGATACTTAGAGACCTATACACCAAATGTTTTAAGGAAGTAGCAGATGTACAATACCCAGGATTAAAGTATTTTATTTGTAATATACTGATTTCGGACCTATAGTACTGTGTATGTGTAAACTCACCAGTGCCCTGTTCAGAGCTTCCCGCCGCTCTTCTTTGGAGGCCTGTTTGCCTTTCCACACCATCACATGAGAACCTCCATGGTCCACAATGTAACAGTCCTGAGAGAAGAAAAACAGTGAACAAAGAGACACAGCACATTTTCTATTTGACAGCATCTAAGACTGTGTTTGAAGGATAAGTGCCAGTTACAGATGACTGCAGCAGGTCCTGCGTTAGAGGCTGCGTGGCCACCTCTTGAACCACTAGATTCCCATTATTTTCAAAAACGCTGAAGAGAAACATAAGGAAAATGTAAATGGACAAAAATATTCCCAGCATGTTGCAAAATAGGTAAATGATCAATTAAGATTCCTTACTGGTAGAGCCTGACGTTGGTGGCCTGCACTTGATCTGGGCTGTCATCAGGGATAGCCTCCTTCAGTGGCCCGGTTCTTTGGCCAAGCACCGTTGTCAGGATTTTCATCAGCTCTGGTGAGCTCTGCTCATCTCCGCCCTCTATGATGCCAATCTGTGCACGACCTCCTCTCTCCCGGTCCCGAATGTCCTGAGCCAACAGCAATGCCTGTAGAGCAAGCAGAGGAGAAATAAGTTTTACATTTAATTCGTATAGTGAAAACCTGTTTAAGAAATCCAGTCTAACGTATATATAGCCTACATTCTGGACATGAAAACCAATATATTTGTGACAAATACAAAATATCCAAAAGACGAATATGCTGATTTTATTAATAGTGAGAAATTAGCTCTAAATTATCCATCTAGATTGAATGATGCAAGTAAAAACATTTAAAATGAAGGTATTTATTGTATTTAAAAATAATATATATTACTATAAAGGTTATTTGTAAAGCAGCTGAAATGTGGAATTACTATTTTTATTTGAGAATAGTGTCTTTAAATATAATTAAAAGTACCATGTTTAGTATTTGACCAGTTGTTGTGCTACTGAGCAATGTTTTTACAAATGGATCCCAGTTGTGAGCACAATTCACATCCTGCTGTGTTTTCCACACTAGGCTGCTGACTAAGAGTTGGTGGCAATAACATACCAACAAAGTAGAAATACACTAACTAATACAGTGAAGAAGACTGCCTCCAAACAAACATGGACACAAACCATGCATATTTAAAGAGCCTCTGTACCAACATTGTGTGAGAGAATACTATAAATGCATTCAGCATCAATAGACGTAAAAGATACACAAAATGCACTTTGGTGAGTAAATGTCAACAATCTTTTGTTACGTAGTTTACAAAAGGTTTTATCCATTTGTACACACACGATTCCTTTGTAGTACTGTAAAGTGACTAAATATATTTTCTAAAATAATAGAGGAAGATGTACTTTATTTGAATATTTCACAACTTTAAACACCAATATACACCACTACATTTACATATCAACTACATGTTACACTATAGATTCTTTCATCTCATTATATTCTAAAATATAGGCTAATGGTTTATCATAGCATAGCATCCTCATTAGTACCTGAAGTAATTAAAATTTGTTCCACTCTCAACCAGCTTCAAGCATAAAATGCTGCTTATAATGCTGCTTTTGTTACTTTAAGTGCCGTTGTGGCTACAGAAGAGGACTGGGGCCTCTGTAAAAAAACATATTTGAGTTCTGACTTTAAACCTGACTTTTAAAAAAAGTCAAAATTCTGAGAAAAAGCCAGAACTCAAATAAAATTTTTATAGTGGCCCTAATCTTCTTCCATATGTGACTAATCAGAGGCTTCAGAACCTTGAGTTTCTCCTTCCTGTTGCTTTGCGGGCCGTTCCACTGCACTATGGTTTTCCCCATATCCAGCAGAAATATATCTCCATTATTAAAGCTGTTCCAGGACACCTCCACCTGCACACAGACACACAAACCTTAACATGATGGAGGGTTATAAATTATTTCCCTTTATTCAAATAGTTTACAGTGTCATAAAATATTCACATATTCAATAAATGCCACACAGTCATAGCATTTCTCAAACAATTAATATCTTCTTTGACAGCTATGATGACAAGAGTGCTGCAATTTGTTTAACTACATGGGAGTGTTGACAACCATTGGCTGTGTGAAGCTCCAGATAGCATCAACAGCAGCTACAGCATCATTCCCTGTTCTAGCCCTTTATATTCTTCTCTGCCTACCTCTTTTGCTGTGACATGCTTCATCCCTCTGATGTGCAGCAATCGCAGGATATTGTAGACATTTGTGTCAACGTGGTGAAAACCTGACCCCACTCCGCCCTTCTTGTAACTGTGGAGAGATTAGCGTACATGACCGAAGTCCAAGTGTAATAAAACACTTATGCCACACATGAAGCTACATGAGTACAACAGCACCTGGGAGTGTTTCTTGGTTTGTTCGTTTTAAAATATATAACTGAGAAGTGTTTTTCTTCGCTAAGCTTCAACCAAACAGGTGTAATTTATGTCATCATGATTTCCTATTAGTGTTCTAAGCATGTCTCAGAAAGATATGTGACTCCTTCATATTTGTCAGTTCACACAAATACCCCCTTCCTACTCACATGAGGCCATTTTTGAAGTAGCTTTTGAATCGGGGTGACTCATTGCCCTGTACCTCCCTGTGCTGGACTGGATTGCCATCCAGGTACTCGTCGAGCTGGGTGGTGTACATGACTGCTGCGCCTTGCTCATCCTGAGAAGATTTATTTCCTATCCAGAAGTGGATGTCAGCTGTTAGGCCGGATCCCTTGTTCTCACTTATCTGGTAATAAGCATGGAAAACACATCAAGAGACATAGCTGTAACACTTGGACATATCTATATTAATGTGGTTGCTCACTGTAGCCAGTGCTGTACTCACATTTAGAACAATGTAACAGTCTCCCTCAAAGAAGTTACCAAAGCCTTGGGCTGGTACAGGCACCATCTCCATATTCTGTATAAGAAAACAAGAAAAACATATCAAATCTCCTACAATAACACTTCAGCCTTTACTGAAGCCCCCATTTACTGCTCACAGTAATGTGGGCTCCATTACAGTAGTTTTAGGGCTGACTCACATTGATGGTCCATATCTGCAGGCCTGGCTTCCGGCTGACATTTCTAAAAGTGTCTTGATTGTCATCACTCATCTTACTGCTGAACTGAAACAAACACACAGCAAAAAGGCATAAAGAGGTGTGGTCTTTACATTGAACAATGCTTATCTCAGGCTATGTAAGAGCAAATTACTATATATGCAATAAGAAGGAGAGTGAGGAATATATGCGCTATTACAATGTACACCTACTGTACTGTAACTGACTTGAGTGTTGCCATTTTGAAACCAATCATCAATTTTTCAGTGAAAAATATTGTAATTGTAGTTAGTTACTATTTTTAGCTTAAGATTTTATATATTAAACATTTGATGAGCTTTTAAAGTATTATGCATTGCTTCACATTAAACTGTCATAAATTAGAAAACACATTTTCACTTGCAGTGCCTCCTAAGTACTTGGGGAAAAAACATTTCTGAGACCTCTTCCTCTTCCACATTGCTCATTCATATGGGTTTCCTATCTTTTCAACTGGAAACAGATGTCTCTAAACAGGCACAATAAAAAAATTGGATCTCTGACAGCGAAACACCTCTAATCCTCCTAATGAGTGCCATCTTGGCACCACAGCTACTTACAAGTTCTGCAATCAGCAGTGCTTAAACTTCTGGAGAGAGTTTGCTGCACTGAAAGTAAAGGGGCTGAATAATTTTGCACGCCCAATTTTTCAGTTTTTTATTTGTTAAAAATGTTTGAAATATCCAATAAATTTTGTTCCACTTCATGATTGTGTCCCACTTGTTGTTGATTCTTCATAAAAAATTACAGTTTTATATCTTTATGTTTGAAGCCTGAAATGTGGCAAAAGGTCGCAAAGTTCAAGGGGGCCGAATACTTTCGCAAGGCACTGTATATTAAACATTTGATGAGCTTTTAAAGTATTATGCATTGCTTCACATTAAACTGTCATAAATTAGAAAACACATTTTCACTTGCAGTGCCTCCTAAGTACTTGGGGAAAAAACATTTCTGAGACCTCTTCCTCTTCCACATTGCTCATTCATATGGGTTTCCTATCTTTTCAACTGGAAACAGATGTCTCTAAACAGGCACAATAAAAAAATTGGATCTCTGACAGCGAAACACCTCTAATCCTCCTAATGAGTGCCATCTTGGCACCACAGCTACTTACAAGTTCTGCAATCAGCAGTGCTTAAACTGCCTCTTGACTCATACTGGAAACAACAGTACTGATAAGCAAACACTGTATCACCAGCTGAGCCAAGACTAGGGCTCAGTGGTGACACACTATATAGAAACAGCCTGCTTGAAACACATATGGTTGTCAAATATCTGGAGATTGCAGTTATTCTTCAAAGAAATAACCCTCATGTACTGAGCACTGCCTCCATGTCTATATATAAAGCGTCTTGCCGAGCAGTGATTGATGGAGTGGGTGGTGTAAGGTGCGATAGCTCAGATCAGCTATAGGCTACTCAACCAGGATTTCAGCCACACCCTTATCAAGGCTCTAGTATTCAGGGAATCAGATAAAGTGGTGACACACATAAAACAAACAGAAAAAATACCTTAAAGTGATATGGTTTGGGCTGCAGCTGCAAAACCGTACTTCATTTAGCTTCTGGTGCGTGAGCCTGGGGAGGGCTGAGTCATAGCAGCCATTGTGGCCTAAAGTACTGAATGTTAAAATGTAGTGCAACACTGGCACAACTAAAGAAGATTCATAAGCTCAGCCAGATGACATGTTAATATTAGTTGCTCAGTAATATGTTTTAAGTTTGCGTTAGTTTTTCATTCAAAAGTCACTGACATATGTGAAAAGCTATTTAGCTCTCTATCTCAGTTCATTGCTTTCAATTTGTCATATGTTGCTAATTTGACACAAGACATATTGGTATTATGAATAATTCTGTGCCCTGTTGTGTTTGCTGAGTGCTGATCTGTCATTGTATATACTGTATGTTAACTGTTACATTCAGGTGAGAATTAGCATCAAGCTAACACTGTTACATGTATCACATGATAGCCTATTGTACTGTATTCAGGTTTTCATCCTATACTGTAGCAGAATAATGAGCCAAAAATAAATAAATAAATATGTAAATGGCAGAATGGTAGCACAGTGTCCAGACTTTAAATATATATGGCTGCGACTGGACTAATACATTTAAAGCATATAGGATCAGATTATCAGATTAACTGTGTGCATATATTTCTGTATATAACTGTGTATTGTGTATATTGTGCTAATTGTGTATAGCTAATGTAATTGTGATAAAATGACCAGTTAAAAGAGTTGATCATCAAATTCAATTGCCCAGAAAATTGTGTACAACTCTGGATGGAGAGGGGAGTAAGAATCGCTCTTCCTTGCTTTGTTTTAATAGATTGATTTGATTTAATTGATGTATTAACTTGATTCAATAGTGTTGCTTATTGCCAAGCTCTTGAACACTTTAAATGCAGTGGCAACTCCCTGTGGTGAATGGAAAATAAACATTGCGTTCAGCAATCTGATCCCGGTCAAATCATTTCTACAAAGATAAACTGAAGACCAGCATTGCTTCTATTATTGTGACAGGAAAGACTGGTTCCACATCAATTAACCCGTGGTGTCCGCTGACTCTGCATACAGTGAGCTTTGTTAATGCTCTAAATGCATCCTATGTTCATCTCCAGGTAATATGAAATGATGCATGGTTTGAAGGCCCCACATACAGCAAAGTTTGTTTCAAAATATATATATATATTA